AACGAAGGAGGCATGCTGTCATTAGACCCAATGTTAAATTCTTCGGGGTCAGGTTTCTGTGTGTGTCTGCTCGCCAGATGAGTTGGGACGCAACAGATGTGTCAAGTCGACCCAGAGCAGCTGCTAAGGCTGGCTTGCAAAATGTGAAATTGGAAACCACCTTGCAGGAAATTCCTCTCCCTGCAAATACAGAAGCGGTTCCAGGTTCACGCAGTGCCTCAGCTGAGGATCGCACAAGAGGGAAGATAGCGAGGTACGTTAGCATACGTTATCCGTGCCTAGCCACTTGTATTAATGCATCACATGCCTCTACGTTAACACCAGTAGACCATGTATGTGTGTGAATGGGCATACAGGTAGGGGGCAATTAGTGCGGGTTTGAATAATGCGATTTTTGATCTAGTGCGAATTGTCAGTGGATACCAGGTCATGTTTAATGTGACCCAAAAGTCAGTGAATGCGAGGCTAGCGGGTGCGCCATTGAGGCTAGCGCATAGGCAGCTGTGGCTGGGGTTTTAGACCCTGCTTATCTTCACGTGGGCAAAAGGGAGAAGAGGAAGATTCCATCAGAGGAAAACAGTACAAGTTTTTAAAAGAAGTTATTTATTGATTGATTGATTGATTTGATTTGATTTGATTTGATTTGATTTGATTTGATTTGATTTGTATGCTGCCCATCTCTCCTGACGGGTGACTCTTGGCGGTTCACAATCAAAACCCAAGAACATTAAAAAATGATACCATATAAATAGTTAAAATGAATTAATCAATTAAAATCAGACTATAAAAACAACCCTATACATATGGCCTGTTATTACATTAGAGCAAAAATTTGATGTAATTGAACGAGATGAACATGTTCATAGCAGTGCTAAAAGAGGACAAGATGTTGGAAAGCCTGAATCTATGGTAGCATTTTTGTTTTCTGATTTTATTTGGATTTCTATAACTACTATGTGGCTTTGTTAGCCAGAAATTTAAATTATAAGTATGTTCTTTTTATCCTTTACTGTAATATTTCATTAAGATACATATATAAATTTGTGTTTTCAATTTTTCATTGCCTATTTCTGTCGAGCTGGAACCAACTGCCACGTTTTCCACAGAAATATCACTTCGAATAGTACGAATTCGAATAATGCTCCATTTCGTGGGATTCATCAACCGCACTAATCGAGGCCTACCTTATACGAAAGATTAAGTATATGGGATCTGCTCAAAGTGAGCCATGGAAGTAGACGGGTTTGCTCTGGAAGACTTCAGCTTGGCAGCACGTGGGAAAGTATCAGAATAAGAGAGAAAGAAGAAGAAGGGGGAGGAGGAGGAGGAGGAGGAGGAGGAGGAGG